TTATACAATATACATAGATTAATAGTATCTAAAATCATTATTATTTTGTATTATATAATTATTATATAATAAAAATATCTAATTATTATTATACAATATATATATTAATAATAGATAAAATTATTATTATTATTATACAATATATATATATTAATAATAGATAACATCATCATTATTATTATTTTGTGATTATTATATAATGATTATATAATAAGAATATCTAATTATTATATTATTATACAATATATATATAGATTAATAATAGCTAGAATCATTATTATTTTGTATTATTTAATTATTATATAATAAGAATATCTTATTATTATTATACAATATATATATATATTAATGATAGACAAAATTATTATTTTGTGATTATTATATAATGATTTTATAATAAGAATATATAATTATTATATTATTCAACTATATATATAAATAGATAAAATTGTTATTATTTTGTGAGTATTATATAATTATTATATAATAAGAATATCTAATTATTATATTATTCTACTATATATATATATATAGAGAGAGAGAGAGAGAGAGAGAGAGATTAATAATAGATAAAATTATTATTATTATTTTGTGATTATTATATGATTATATAATATATAATTATTATATTATTATACAATATATATATATAGATTAATAATAGATAAAATTGTTATTATTTTGTAGTATATAATTATTATATAATAGGAATATATTATTATATTATTCTACCATCTATATTAATAATAGATAAAATCATCATTATTTTGTGATTATATGATTATATAATAAGAATATATAATTATTATATTATTCTACAATATATATAGATTAATAATAGATAAAATTATTATTATTTTGTGACTATTATATAATGATTATATAATGATATATTATATTATTCTACAATATATATATATATATAGATTAATAATAGATAAATTATTATTAATTTGTATTATATAATTATTATATAATAAGAATATATTATTATAATATTATTATAGTATATATAGAGATTTATAGATTATTTTGTATTATGTAATTATTATATAAGAGGATATAATTATGATATGTTATAAAATATACATAAATTAATAATACATAACATTATTTTGTGATCATATATTATATTATATGAATATATTATTATATTATATTATTTCTATTATATTATTATACAATATACATAGATGAATAATAGACAAAATATTATATAATAAGAATACATTAAATTATGTTATATTATTTTTATTATAGTATCATACAATATACATAGATTAGTAATAGATAAAATTATTATCATTATTATTAATCTAGATGTCTACATAATATATATGTTTACATTTTTTTTTCCTATCATGTGCTATTATTACATATTAATGGGTCCACCACCCCTGCGGAGATTAGGAGGCACGGCCAGACCATGACAATGGAAAAATATTTTGCTCTTCCACTCTGACCGCCCCACCGTCCACAATAAAAACAAAGTCCAACGTGTGACCCGCCTGATGTGTGGGGCCAGATATTACTTGAGTCAGCCCCGTGGTCATCATGGCAACCATGAAATCCTGAGCTGCACCTGTCAACATAGTCTTGGCATGAATATTAATGTCTCCCAAAACTATATTAACGTCTCCCAAAACCCAAGGCCAAATTTGAGACCACTTCTTCTAGCTCAGGCAGGGAAACCGCTGGGTCGCGGGGTGGACGGTACACCAGCAGGATGCCCAGGCTGTCTCGAGCTCCCACCTTCAAGTAGACACACTCAAACCTAGAGGATTGCGGAACGGTGCCTCTGATCAGGGCGATGGACTGCTGAAAGATTACCGCGACCCCTTGTCCCTGCCCCCCGGACCTAGCCTGCTGATGCACCCCGAAGCCCGGTGGACATAGCTGGATGAGATTTACCCCTCCCAGCTTGTCCAAACAGCTTTACCCAGCTCTTCCAACTAGGTCTCAGTGATGCATATTAAAGTCTCCCAAAACTATAAGTTGTTGGGAGCCCAAGGCCAAATTTGAGACCACTTCTGCTAGCTCAGGCAGGGAAACTGCTGGGTCGCGGGGTGGATGGTACACCAGCAGGATGCCCAGGCTGTCTCGAGCTCCCACCTTCAAGTAGACACACTCAAACCTCGAGGATTGCGGAATAGTGCCTCTGATCAGGGCGATGGACTGCCGAAAGATTACGACCCCTCCCCCCCACCCACCCCCCTGGACCTAGCCTGCTGATGCACCTCCGAAGCCTGGTGGACAGAGCTGGATGAGATTTACCCCACCCAGCTCGTCCAACCAGGTCTCAGTGATGCATATTAAAGTCTTCCAAAACTATAAGTTCTTGGGAGCCCAAGGCCAGATTTGAGATCACTTCTGCTAGCTCAGGCAGGGAAACTGCTGTGTCGCGGGGTGGACGGTACACCAGCAGGATCCCCAGGCTGTCTCGAGTTCCCACCTTCAGGTATACACACGCAAACCTCAAGGATTGCGGAACGGTGCATCTGATCAGGGTGATGGACAGCTAAAAGATTACCGCGACCCCTCCTCCCCGCCCCCCGAACCTCGCCTGCTGATGCACCCCGAAGCCTGGTGGACAGAGTTGGATGAGATTTACCCAGCTCTTCCAACTAGGTCTCAGTGATGCATATTAAAGTCTCCCAAAACTATAAGTTGTTGGGAGCCCAAGGCCAAATTTGAGACAACTTCTGCTAGCTCAGACAGGGAAACTGCTGGGTCATGGGGTGGACGGTACACCAGCAGGATCCCCAGGCTGTCTCGAGCGGTGCATCTGATCAGGGCGATGGACCGCCGAAAGATTACTGCGACCCCTCCTCCCCGCCACCCGGACCTTGCCTGAGATTTACCCCACCCAGTTTGCCCAACCACATCTCGGTGATGCACGCCAAATCCGCCCCCTCATACCTACCATTCCACCTACCTATCATTTTACTTATCCATCTTTTATCTTTCAATCTCTCTTTCTACCTACGTACCTATCTATCTTATCTACCTACCATTCCTTCCTACTATCTACCTACAATTCTACCTATCTTTCCATCTACCCTTCTACCTATCTACTCATCTATCTATCCATCTTTCAATCTTTCTATGGACTTTTCTTTTTACCTACCATCTACCTACCTTACATCATATCTATCTCCATACCTATCTTTCTACCTACCCTTCACTCTACATACCTACCATTATATCCATTTCCCTATAGTTCTGTCTACCTACTTACCTTTCTACCCGCCTTTCTATCATTCTACCTATCTAGCTTTTGACGTACCTGTCTCCCTACCTTTCTATCATTCCGTCTCTCTCTACCCATCTTTTCATCTACCTTTCTACCCATCTATCCATCATTCGATCTTTCTACATCCCTACCTTTCCCTCTACCTACCTGTCTATTTACCTTTCTACTTACCTGCCATTATATCTACCTTTCTTTTTCATCTATTCTATTTGCCTATTTACCTTTCTACCTACCTACCTTCCTATCGTCCTATTTATTTATTTATTTGCTTTACTTCTATACCGCCTTTCTCAGCCAAAAAGGCAACTCAAGGCGGTCCTATCATTCTATCTATCCATCTTTCAGTGTATCTTTCTATGTACCTATCTTTCTCCTGTTCTACCTACCTTTTGATCTATCTACCTGCCTACTTTTCTATCTATCCTTCTACCAACCATTCCACCTGTTTACTTATCTATCCATCTTTAGATCTTTTGACATACTTTTCTTTCTACCTACCCACCTACCTTTCCACCTACCTTCCTACCATTATATCTACCTATCTTTCAATAGTCTACATTTCTATTTACCTACATATCTTTCTATATCCCTATATTTCATTTTCTGTCTACCTACTTATCTTTCTACCTTTCTACCTATCCATCTTTCCATCTACCAATCTACCATTCTATCTATTCTACTACTATCTATCCATCTTTCGATCTTCCTGCGTACCTTTATATCTATCTATTCTTTCTTCCTACCTACCTTTCATCATTCTCTTGACCTATCTTTCCACCTACCTACCATTCTATCTATCCATCTTTGGATCTATCTTTCTACTGTTCTACCTACCTTTTTATCTACCTACTTTTCCACTTATTTACCTACCTACCTACATGTTTCTACCTACCAATATACCTTTATATCTATTCTAGCTCAGACAGAGAAACTGCTGGGTCGCGGGGTGGACGGTACACCATTGTTCTACCTACTACCCACCTACCTTTCTAGTGCTCTATGTACCTATCTTTCCACCTACCTACCACTCTATCGATACATCTTTTGATCTAGCTTTCTAGGTACCTACCTACCTTTCTCTCATTCTATCTACCTATCTACTATTCTATCTATCCATCTTTCAATCTTTCTACGTACCTATTTTTCTACTGTAGGTAGAAATATGGATAGGTAGAATGATAGGTAGGTTAAAAGATAGGGAGGGAGGTAGCTAAAGAGATAAAAAAGTAGATAAGTAGGTAGGTAGGAAGATTGAAAGATGGATAGGTAGAATGATAGGTGGGTAGGTAGCTAGAAGGTGAGATAGAAAGGCATCTACCTACTTTTCTAGCTACCTAATATTCTACCTATCTATCTTTTGATCAATCTTTCTACGTACATATCTATTTACCTTTCTACCTCACCTTCTAGCTACCTACCCACCTATCATTCTACTTACGTCTTTCAATCCTACCTACCTACCTACCTTTTTACCTTTCTAGCTACCTCCCTCCCTTCTAACCTACCTATCATTCTACCTATCCTATAATTCTACCTACCTATCCATATTTCTACCTACCTACCTACCTACCTACCTTTTTACCTCTCTACATACTTGCCTACCTACCTATCTGTCTTTTGATCTTCTTACCTACCTTTCTACCTCTCTTTCTAGCTACCTACCTATCATTCTACCTATCCGTCTTTCAATCTTCCTACCTACCTACCTACCTTTTTACCTCTACCTACCTACCTTTCTAGCTAGCTACCTACATTCTACCTATCCATCTACCTACCTACCTTTCTACCTCTTTCTAGCTACCTACCTACCTATCATTCTACCTATCTGTCTTTCAATATATCTATGTATCTTTTTACCTCTCTGCCTACTTACCTACCTATCATTCTAACTATCCATCTTTCGATCTACCTACCTACCTTTCTACCTTTCTTTCTAGCTACCTACCTATCACTCTACCTATCCATCTTTCAATCTTCCTACCTACCTACCTTTTTGCCTCTCTACCTACCTACCTTTCTATCATCCTACCTATCTGTCTTTCAGCCTTTCTACACACCTATCTACCTTTCTACCTATCTTTCTAGCTACCTATCTTTCTATCATTCTATTTGTCTTCCAATATATCTTTCTACATACCTACCTACCTTTTTACCTACCTACCTACCTAGGTTTCTATCATTCTATCTGTCTTTCGATCTTTCTACATACCTACCTATCTTTTTACCTACCTACCTTTCTATTATTCTACCTATCCATTTTCCGATATATCTTTCTACATACCTACCTACCTTTTTACCTACCTAGGTTTCTATCATTCTATCTATCTGTCTTTCGATCTTTCTACATACCTACCTACCTTTTACCTACCTACCTTACTATCATTCTACCTATCCGTCTTTCGATATATCTTTCTACATACTTACCTACCTTTTTACCTACCTACCTTTCTATCATTCTATCTATCCATCTTTCAATCTTTCTACCTATCTACGTACCTAGCTATCTTTCTACCTACCTATAGTTCTACCTACCCGTCTTTCAATCTTCCTATCTACCTATCTTTCTATCATTTCTATCTGTCTTTTGATATATCTTTCTACATACCTACCTATCTTTTTACCTACCTACTTACCTTTCTATCATTCTATCTTACCTTTCTACCTACCTACTTCTACCTATCTGTCTTTTGATTCTACGTATGTCTTTCAATCTTTCTACCTACCTACCTACCTTTCTACCTGTCTTGCAATTCTACCTATCTGTCTTTCGATTTTTCTACCTACCTACCTACCTTTCTACCTACCTACTTTTCTACCTGGCTTTCGATTCTACCTATCTGCCTTTCGTTCTTTCTACATACCAACTACCTACCTTTCTGCCTATCTGTCTTTTGATTCTACCTCTGTCTTTCGATCTTTCTACCTACCTACCTTTCTACCTATCCTACCTACCTTTCTACCTGTCTTTCTACCTGTCTTTCGATCTTTCTACCTACCTACCTTTCTACCTACCTTTCTACCTACCTTTCTACCTGTCTTGCAATTCTACCTGTCTTTCAATCTTTCTACATACCTACCTACCTTTCTACCTATCTGTCTTTCTACCTATCTGTCTTTCAATTCTACCTATCAGTCTTTCTATCTTTTACATACCTACCTACCTTTCTACCTATCTGTCTTTTGATTCTACCTGTCTTTCAATCTTTCTACCTGACTACCTACCTACCTTTCTACCTACCTATCTTTCTATCTGTCTTTTGATCTTTCTACATACCTACCTTTCTACTTACCTTTCTACCTACCTACATTTCTATCTGTCTTTCGATTCTACCTGTCTGTCTATCTTTCTACCTACCTACCTACGCTTCTACCTATGTCTTTCGATTCTACCTGTCTTTTGATCTTTCTACATATTTACCTACATTTCTACCTTTCTACCTACCTACCTTTCTGCCTACCTACCTTTCTGCCTACCTTTCCACCTACATTTCTACCTACCTTTCCACCTTTCTACCTACCTACCTTTCTGCCTGCCTACCTTTCTGCCTACCTTTCCACCTACATTTCTACCTACCTTTCCACCTACCTTTCTACCTACCTACCTTTCTGCCTACCTACCTTTCTGCCTACCTTTCCACCTACCTTTCTACCTACCTACCTACCTTTCTACCTATCTGTCTTTCGATCTTTCCACCTACCTTTCTACCTACCTACCTTTTTGCCTACCTACCTTTCTGCCTATCTTTCAATTCTACCTATCTGTCTTTCGATCTTTCTACATACTTACCTACCTTTCTACCTACCTACCTTTCCACCTACCTATCATTCCCCTTATCCATCTTTCGACCCCTCTTTCTGCCTACCTGCTTACCTGTCTCCCTCCCTCCCTTCCCACCTGCCTCCCCATGGGACGCCCCGCTCCTTGGCTCACCGCACTTGCTCCTTCCGATCTGCCCCAGTTTGGGGGGCCTCTTGGTCTGCCCCCCAGAGTAGAAGGCGTTGGTGTCCCGGACCCGGCAGGAGAAGGGGATCTCGGCCCCCACGTCCGAGGAGAAGGAGCCCAGCTTCTCCTCACTGAAGGGCAGCACCTCCGACATCCTGGCCCCGGAAAGGAGGCAGGAAGGAAGAGAAGAGGAGAAAGAGAGGGAGACCCCAGAGAGGACGAGGAGGATAGATGGATGGAAAGGAGCCCGGCTCCCAAGGAAGGCTCGCCTGAGACTGGCAGAGAGAAGGGAGAAAGGAGGGAGAATGAGAAGGAGGGAGGGAGGGAGGAGAGAAGAGGAGGAGGAGGAGAGTGAGAGAAAGGAGGAGGGAGAAGCAGAGAGGACAGAGACAGAGAGAGGAATCAATCGAGAGGAAGAGGAGAAAGTGAGACAGGGAAGAAGATGGAGAATGAAAGAGGGAGGGAGGGAGGAGAGACAGAGGAAAGACAGAGACAAGAAGATGGAGGGAATGAAAGAGAGAAGGAGGGAGGATAGAAAGAAGGAAGGAAGGAGAAACAGAGAAGAAGAGGAGAAAGTGAGACAGAGAAGAAGATAGACTGAAAGGAGGAAGGAGAGAAAGAAAGCAGGGAGGAAGAGACAGAGGAATAGGAGAAAGTGAAACAGAGAAGGAGCTGGAGGGAATGAAAGAGAAGGAGGGAAGGAGGAACAAAGAGAGGAAGAGGAGAAAGTGAGAGAAGGTGGAGGGAATGAAAGAGAAGGAGGGAGGAAAGAAAGCAGCGACAGAGAGAGGAAGAGGAGAAAGTGAGAGAGAAGAAGATGGATGGAATGAAAGAGAGAAGGAGAGAGGAGAGAAAGAAGCAGGAAAGAAGAGATAGAGGAAGAGGAGAGAAACAGAGGTGATGGAGGGAATGAAAAAGAGAAGGAGGAAGGAAAGGAAGGAGAGACAGAGGAAGAGGAGAAAGTGAGACAGACAAGATGGAGGGAATGAAAGAGAGAAGGAGGGAGGATAGAAAGAAGGAAGGAAGGAAGGAAGGAGAGACAGAGAAGAAGAGGAGTAAGTGAGACAGAAGAAGATAGAGAGAATGGAACAAAAGAGGAAGGAGAGAAAGAAAGGAGGGAGAGACAGAGGAAGAGGAGAAAGTGAGACGGAAGAAGATAGAATGAAAGAGAGAAGGAGGGAGGGGAGAAAGAAGGAGGGAAGGAGAGACAGAGGAAAGACAGACAAGAAGATGGAGGGAATGAAAGGAGGGAGGATAGAAAGAAGGAAGGAAGGAAGGAGAGACAGAGAAGAAGAGGAGAAAGTGAGACAGAAGAAGATAGAATGAAACAGAGAATGAGGAAGGAGAGAAAGAAAGGGGAAGGGAGAGAGAGGAAGAGGAGAAAATGAGACAAGGAAATGGAGGGAATGAAAGAGAGGAGGGAGGAAAGAAAGGAGGGAGAAACAGAGGAAGAGGAGAATGTGAGACAGAGATGGACAGAATGAAAGAGGGAAGGAGAAAAAGAAGGAGGGAAGGAGAGACAGAGAGAGGAAGAGGAGAAAGTGAGAGAGAAGATGGAGGGAATGAAAGAGAGAAGGAGGAAGGAGAGAAAGGAGGGATGGAAGGAGAGACAGAGGAAGAGGAGAAAGTGAGAGAAGATGGAGGGAATGAAAGAGAAGGAGGGAAGGAGGAACAAAGAGAGGAAGAGGAGAAAGTGAGAGAAGGTGGAGGGAATGAAAGGAGGGAGGATAGAAAGAAGGAAGGAAGGAAGGAGAGACAGAGAAGAAGAGGAGAAAGTGAGACAGAAGAAGATAGAATGAAACAGAGAATGAGGAAGGAGAGAAAGAAAGGGGAAGGGAGAGAGAGGAAGAGGAGAAAATGAGACAAGGAAATGGAGGGAATGAAAGAGAGGAGGGAGGAAAGAAAGGAGGGAGAAACAGAGGAAGAGGAGAATGTGAGACAGAGATGGACAGAATGAAAGAGGGAAGGAGAAAAAGAAGGAGGGAAGGAGAGACAGAGAGAGGAAGAGGAGAAAGTGAGAGAGAAGATGGAGGGAATGAAAGAGAGAAGGAGGAAGGAGAGAAAGGAGGGATGGAAGGAGAGACAGAGGAAGAGGAGAAAGTGAGAGAAGATGGAGGGAATGAAAGAGAAGGAGGGAAGGAGGAACAAAGAGAGGAAGAGGAGAAAGTGAGAGAAGGTGGAGGGAATGAAAGAGAAGGAGGGAGGAAAGAAAGCAGCGACAGAGAGAGGAAGAGAAGAAAGTGAGAGAGAAGAAGATGGAGGGAACGAAAGAGAGGAGGAGGGAGAGAGACAGGAAGAGGAGAAAGTGAGAGAAGAAGATGGAGGGAATGAAAGAGAGGAGGAGGGAGAGAAAGGAGGAGGGAAGGAGGAAGAAGAAGAAAGTGAGACAGAGGAGATGGAGGGAATGAAAGAGAGAAAGAAGAAGTGAAAGAAGCAGGGAAGGAGAGACAGAGGAAGAGAAAGTGGGACAGAGAAGATGGAGAGAATGAAAGAGAAGGAGGAAGGAGAGAAAGGAAGGAAGGAGAGACGGAGAGGAAGAGGAGAAAAAACAGAGAGAAGAAGATGGAGGGAATGAAAGAGAAGGAGGGAGGAGAGAAAGGAGATAAAGCGAGACAGAGAAGATAGAAAGAATGAAAGAGAGAGGAGGAGGGAGGGGAGAAAGAAGAGTGCAAGAGAGTGTGACCTATGCCCATGGGTTCTGAGGCTCAGCCAAGGCAGTGGCAGGGGATGATGGGAGCTGTAGTCCACCCACGTCCCTATGCATCGCCTGATGGGACCGTTCATTGCATCCGAAACCAAACAATATGTCACTCAAAAAGTAGTTGGTCGATTGACATTTTGACACACCGATTTTAATTTGCTTTATTGGATGATGGGATTTGCAGTACCTTCACCCAATTCCTGAGATGACTGCAAACCACACCAATGGCAGATCAAGACCAAACATGGCGCACAGAGCCCCCACAACCCACTTTACATCCTGGTGCAGTTTGGGCATGGACAGACCATGAAGGGATTTGCAGTACCGTCACTCACTTCCAGAGACCACTGCAACCTCCATGCATGACGGATCTGGACCAAACTTGGCACACAGACCCCCCCCCCCCCCGATGCACTTCAGGTCCTAGTGTACTTTGGTGGAGGATGGGCCATGAATGATGGGATTTGTAGTACCTTCACTCCAGAGACCATGGCGACCTCCATGTATGACAGATCTAGACCAAACTTGGCACACAGACCCCCCCCCCCCCCCCATGGTGCACTTCAAGTCCTGGTGTACTTCAGTGGAGGATGGACCACGAAGGATGGGATTTGTAGTACCTTCACTGCAGAGACCACTGCGACCTCCATGTATGACGGATCTGGACCAAACTTGGCACACAGACCCCCCCCCCCCATAGTGCACTTCAGGTTCTAGTGTACTTCAGTGGAGAATGGGCCATGAATGATGGGATTTGTAGTACCATCATTCACTTCCAGAGACCACTGTGGTCTCTGGAAGTGACCCCCCCCCCTCATGGTGCACTTCAGGTCCTGGTGTACCTCGGAACAATGGATGATGGGAGAAAAGGAAGGAGGAAGAAAAGGGAGGGACAGAAGAAGACAGAAGGAAAGAGAGAAAGGGAGGAAGAATGAAAAGGAAGGTAAAAGAAGTTAGAAAAGAGGGAAGGAAGAAAAGGAAGGAGGACAGGAAACAAGGGTGGGAGAAAAGGAAGGAGGAAGAAAAGTCAGGAGGGATGGAAGAAGACAAAAGGAGAAAAAGATAGAAGGAAAGAGGAAGAACAAAAAGAAAGGTAGAAAGAAGTAGGAAAAGAAGGAAGGAGGAAAAGGAAGGAGGAAAAAAGGCAGGAAATAAGGGAGGGAGAAAAGGGATGGAAGAAGACAGAAGGAAGGAAAGAAGGAGGGAGGAAGAATAAAAAGAAAGGTAGAAAGTAGGAAAAGAGGGGAGGAAAAAAGGGAGGAAGAAAAGGGAGAAGGAAACAAGGGAGGGAGAAAAGGAAGGAGGAAGAAAAGGAAGGAGGGACGGAAGAAGCCAAAAGGAAAAAGGAAGAACAAAAAGAAAGGTAGAAAGAAGTAGGAAAAGAAGGAAGGAGGAAAAGAAAGGAGGAAAAAAGACAGGAAATAAGGGAGGGAGAAAAGGGACAGAAGAAGACAGAAGGAAAGAAAGAAGGAAGGAAGAATGAAAAGAAAGGTAAAAAGAGGAGGAGGAAAAGGAAGAAGAAAAGGAAGGAGGGACAGAGGAAGACAAAAGGAAAGAGGGAGGAAGAATGAAAAGAAAGGTAGAAAGAAGTAGGAAAAGAAGGAAGAATGAAAAGGAAGTTGGAATGGAGAAAGGAAATAAGGGAGGGAGAAAAGGGACGGAAGAAGACAGAAGGAAAGAAAGAGGGAAGGAGGAAGAATGAAAAGAAAGATTAAAAGAAGTAGGAAAAGAGGGGAGGAAGAAGGGAGGAAGAAAAGGAAGGAGGGACAGAAGAAGACAGAAGGAAAGAGGGAGGAAGAACGAAAAGAAAGGTAGAAGAAGTAGGAAAAGAAGGAAAGGAAAAGGAAGGAGAAAGGAGGAAAAAAGACAGGAAATAAGGGAGGGAGAAAAGGGACAGAAGAAGACAGAAGGAAAGAAAGAAAGCGGGAAGGAGGAAGAATGAAAAGAAAGTAGGAAAAAGAGGGGAGGAAAAAGGAAGAAAAGGAAGGAGGAATGAAGGGAGAAAGGGACAGAAGAAGTCAGAAGGAAAGAAAGAGGAAGAACAAAAAGAAAGGTAGAAAGAAGTAGGAAAGGAAGGAGGGAGGAAGAAAAGGGAGGAAGAAAAGGAAGGAGGGACAGAAGAAGACAAAAGGAAAGAGGGAGGAAAAACAAAAAGAAAGGTAGAAAGAAGCAGGAAAAGTAGGAAGGATGAAAAGTAAGGAGGAATGTAGACAGGAAATAAGGGAGAAAAGGGACAGAAGAAGACAGAAGGAAAGAAAGAAAGCGGGAGGAACAATGAAAAGAAAGATAAAAAGAAGTAGGAAAAGAGGGAAGGAAGAAGGGAGGAAGAATAGGAAGAAAAGGAAGGAGGGGGAATAAAGACAGGAAATAATGGAGGGAGAAAAGGAAGGAGGAAGAAAAGGGGCGGAAGAAGACAAAAGGAAAGAAAGAGGGAGGGAGGAAGAATGAAAAGAAAGGTAAAAGAAGTAGGCAAAGTGGAGAGGAAGAATAGGAAGAAGGAAGAAAAGGAAGGAGGGATAGAAGACAAAGGGAAGGGAGGAAGAACGAAAAGAAAGGTGGAAGGAAGGAAGGAAGGAAGGAAGGGAAGGAGGGACAGAAGAGGC